ATAAAGTTAGGTTTTATGTGTAAGTCATACTTTTTCAAAACATTTTTATAAATATTAAAGTCAGGCGATACTTCTGGAAATGTAACACATTCGCGTATTGTTAATTAGTATAATTAATTGATTATTACTAGCAGTAAGAATATAATCGCAGTATTAATAAGTACAACAATAAATAATATCTATGTAAAATAATAAATAATTTATATTCATTCAACAAAATACAATATAACATAATATAGTATATACATATATTAACTGCTTTTCATTGGTCTTGTATTCATTTTTTATCTTGGTATAATAGGGAAAATTTGATTCGTAATTTTTTTATCCCTGGCCATCTCTTTCATCGTATTAGGAAGTCCATAAAGTAAATACAGTATATTACCTGATAAATTGGTAAAATAATTATATCTATGCAACATTATATATATATATATCTATATATATTACTAGTATATACATGTATATTTTTGTGTATATAAATAATTTATACATGTACTGATATATATATCTATATATATATATATATATATAATATATATATATTATAATTTTATGCATACATGCAATACCCATACATTTAATTATATGTTAATTTTAATGTTAATATCATACAATAATAGATCTACACTTATGGTTACAATAACGAATAAAATATGAAATGCAAATAAAATTTAAATTTTATAGTTGAATAAAATAGTACACAATAATCATTTCATTTTACTAAAACAATGTTTTAAAAGAAAATTGATAATTAAAAGTTAGTCTACGATCTAATTGTCTGTCAATAGATTATAAAACTGAAGTGTGCATAAGAAGTTATTTAAAAAAAAATCGATTCATGTAGTCATTATTATAAATCATTGTGAACAGAAAATAAAAACCTATTTTTTGTGATGTGCAATAGAACAATGTTTTTTTTTAACTTTCCTGGTAAATTATAGTAATAGCAAAAAAATTGAATTTGAAAATTTAAAATTTTTAAAAACTTAGTTTTTGGTACGGAAAGTACCAGCAATTTGCCTAAAGGCACGATGCCACGCACCACTTGTTATTATTTCAAATATGAAAATACTTAGTTTTTAAGAAACCAAAAATAGTTTTTTGAATCATTCAAATCAGATGCTTAGTTCTCTCGAAAACTGCAATTTTTTGTACATTTAGCCTTGTATCTTCGCCTTCACCTCTTCTCCCAATCATTACAAATTGAATATTTTTTTGATCATTCAAATCGGATACTCCGTCCTCTCAAAAACTCTATTTTTATTTTCTGCATTCTTTGCTCCGTATCTCCGTAACGGCTGGACCTGCCTTTCCCAAAAACTAATCAGCACATCTTCCTATCAATAGAAATCGAATAGTTTTCGAACCATTCAAATCGGTTGATCTGTGCGCCCGAAAACGCGAACGAAAAAATGCAGACACACAAAACACACACACATCAATTTTTTCTGTGGTATGACAAAATGTTTAGAAACCTCTAAAACGTGAACATATGCAAAAAATTTCATTTTCAATTTATTTGCGATTACTATAACTTACCCATCGGGAAGTTAAAAATTAGCATCTCAGTATGTCCTCACTATATATACTATTTTGTCAGTACTATATAGAAGGTTTTATGGTTTTTGTAATTGGTTGTATTTTTACTTAATAAATATGTTATTTATAGTCCCTACATAATTAAAAAACTAAATTACAGGTAGTCATTTAACCAAAGATGAGTGAAAACCATTGAGACTGGTTATGATATCATTAAATAAATATCATTGAAAAATAAATCACCATGTCATTTTGTTCCCATCTAGCAATTTCAAGCACTAAAAATTTTTGTTAAAGTATTTTTAGCATGATAAAAAATTATAATATGAATAAGTTTACAATACCAAAAAAATATCAAATCAGCTCCCTAGATGTTATGTTATTTTAAGTTGTGCAATATACGCTTAAAAATTTTACTAACAGCAATAATAAGTGATAGTATTTCATTTTACCATTTCCTAGAAATAGTTTGAAATAAATGCTGCGATCAAGAAAAAAAATGTTTATAATTTAGTAAATTATGCGTCATGCTCTTCATTATTATGTTCAGGCAGTATTGAGATTTGTTCACTTTGTTTTGGTTCTACTTGTGACAGTCTAAAAGCGAGAATAGAGTTTAGTTTGTCTCTAAGTTCTGCTCGCGACATGACATTGGCACCATCATTGATATTATTCTCTAGTTTATCGCTTTTTTCTTCCAATAAATTAGGAGGCATTGAATCATTTAATATTTCTGGCGATGAATAAGGTGTAACTGTTACTAATGCGTAATTTTTGTTTGCAATTGCATTTGTTTCGGGTTGTCGCTTTCCTTGCAGTTCTAAAGTTTCTTGGTTGTTCAATAATTGTGTCTCATTTATATTTTTATGGGTTACATTCTCTGGTCTATGCCTCAGATTACTTTTTCTGTTCTCTAATTCTTCAAATAATGGGATCACTGAAATTCTTAGCTTATTTAAGTTAGCCGGTGTAGAGTTTATTTTTCTTAATATTTCTGGAGTAGGCATTTTTGGAGGACTGGGTATATTAAAAGGAGTCTTAGTACTTGTAGACAGATCAGTCGCAACATTTGAATCTTGAGCTATTTTGCTCAATTGACTATTTTGCTCAATTGGAACTGACTGAATAGGCGGAATTCCTTCAATACTTAGACTTCCAATTCCATCTCCAAGAATTTTCTCTAATTTTTGGGCGAATAAAGAACTTCTAATTGACGCTGAGTCTGAATTTTTATCTCTGAGCTTTACAGAACTAGATCCTGTATTAGTTTTATCAGTTTCGGGTTTATAACAACCATCATTTTGAGAATTTACCAGTCCTGCAGGATTAACTATTTGAATATTGTCATTACAGTGAGCTTTATCATCGTTGTCTTTGAATTCGTCATTTTTGATATCGATTTCATTTTTACTTTCACAGGTATCGGAAAACTCTTTCAGCGCTCCGTCACGTAATAAGCAAGATTCAGTGGAAGATATTGAACTTCTGATTGATTTAATGGATGAGTTATTGCTTTTTGAAGAGCTTTTTCGAAGTTCAGGAGACGATTTAAACGTGGAAGATTCGGTATCTTCATTTTGTAATATGTCATCAAAATAGGCCATAACAGTTTCCGAAGGTTCAAAAACTTGGTCAGATCTTTCATTTTTTGGTTCATGTTTTTCATTTAGTGAATCAACATTTTGTTGAAGGTTTGGTGAATATTTTTCTTCTTTATCACAACTATTGTTTGTTAATGTTGTTGCTAAAGCTTTCGTGGGCATGACTAGGTCTGGTAACACAACCAAAGATTCATGCATTGAAATGGGAGATTGTTTTACTTCCTCCATTGTTTCAATTTCAACACAATTTTCATAAGCATAATCTATATTATGGGGCAGCTCTACGCTGGGAATAGGATTATTTCTTATAGGTATCTTTGAACGAGGAGTTACGCTTCTCCAAGTGGTGTCATCATTTTTGCGTACGCAATGTCTCGTCAGAACAAAAACTAAGAATCCTATAATAACATAAAATATTCCGATAATAATATAAAAGCTTATTTAAGATGACTTGGACTTGAATAATGATGATGATATGAACAATTCCAAACGATTTAAAAAATGATATCATTAATTGTATTGCCTAGCATTCTTCAGATTATGAACCCATATAAAATATTAAAATTTTAATAAATAAATTGTATATATGAATTTGTATGATTCTTTCTATGAGACTACATATCTCAAGAAAATATACCCAAGCATTAGGCGAACATAGTTATTACAACCCATTTTAGAATATTTAGGTAATATTTTACTTATTTCATTAGATTAGATACTCGATATAAAATTAAAAGAATGATATTTTTGATCTATAAAATGGTGCAATTATAGTCTTTAAAAATTCACAAATATTTACCTATTGTCATCCATATCCCAAATCGAATCCACGTGGCAGGGTCCAGCATTAATATTAGTAAAATGTTCACAAAAATACTAATTGCAGGAACGTATGGAACGAGTGGTACCTAGTAATAAATATAATTTCAATAAGGAAGAAAATACAAAATTTTCAATAAAGAGTATATTTCATTTTATATCTATTTTTGGGAAATAATTGAAAATTTTGTTTGGAGACAATAAGGTTATAATTTTGCTTGTTTCTGAGTTCTGCTGCAGTAGTATTCAAATATTTTCCTCGCTTATAAAACGAAAAATAGTCAGAAAACATGAATTTAAAGGTTAGAAATTTTGCTTTTTTAGTTTTAATTAATATCATTATTAATCAATATAATCATTAACTAGTGGAGTGTATGGCATCGTGTTGCAAAGTTAAAATTTGTTTAAAGTATATTAGAACTATAGTCAGAAATAAAAATAAAATCTGAATTATTTTCGATAAACAAAAAATTTTTTTTTTGAAAAAAAAAAGTTGAAACAATTTTTTTTTCCAAAATCAATTATTTTGTTAAAACAAGGGTTCTTTGAATCGGACGCTTAGTTCTCTAAAAAACTGTCATTTTTTACACATTTAGCTCCGTATCTTCGAAATGACTGGGCCTGCCTTTGCCAAAAACTAAGAAACACTTCTCCCAATCATGACCAATTGAATATTTTTTAGATCATTCAAATCGGATGCTCCGTTCTCTCAAAAACTCGATTTCTATTTTCTGCACTCTTTGCTCTTAATCTCCGTAACTGCTAGACCTGCCTTTACCAAAAACTAATCAGCACATCTCCCTATCAATAGGAATCGAATGTTTTTTGAACCATTCAAATCGGTTGATCCGTGCGCCCGAAAACATGACTCGAAATTTGTATCCATACATACACACACACACATCCATTTTTTCTGAGGTATGCCAAAATGTTCAGAAACCTTCAAAACATCGATAAATGTAAAAATTTTCAATTTCGATTTTTGGCCCATTACAATAACTTACCCTAGGGAAGTTAATAATTTTATACAATCTAGAGTTCCGCAGTACCTAGGTGTTTAAAAATTTACGTTTGAATTAAATTAACAGTGAAACTACTTTAATTATTCTTTTGTATTGATAATAAAATTTTGATATAAAACAATTTCATAAAAATTATTATATTGATTCTCTTCAATTGCTATATTTTTCAAAAAAAATAATTAAAATAATAAAAAATTCAACCTTTTGTGTGCGTGCGTTTGTGTATGTGTGTGCGGATTCAAATTTTCGTCGACGATTTACGAACACGGATCAACCAATTTGCATGATTTAAAAAACAATAGATTCCTACTGATAAGGAGACGTGTTGATTAGTTTCTGGCAAAGGCAGGCCTAGCCTTTCAGAGATACGGGGCAAGAAGTGCTAAAAATGGTATATCAGTTTTGGAGATAACGGAGCATCCGATTTAATACTTCAATCAATATTTTACTTGTATTGACGAAATGAACAACTGGTCAAATTTTTGTCAAGGCAGGTCCAGCGTCTCCGGAGATCCAATAAAAATAATGTCAAAAATAAACATTACACATATGTACATCGTACTATCAGATATTTTATAAAGATTGTAATAATAATTAAAATTTTGTGTACATTTATATGGGTTTACACGTTAGACGACTACGCGACGCTTATGCGCTTTGACACCAAATCAGCTATGCAGCGCGATCGCTTAAAAAAATGTTCAAAGTTTTCATGAAAAATCAAAATACAAAAAAAATCAAAATAGAAAAAATTTTTTTTCAAAAATTTTAAATTTTCTCAAAAATCTAATTTTTTCAAAGTTTACCAAAGTTTTTTTAATAATTTAGTTTTTGGTACAGGGCGTTCCATCAATTTACCTTAAAGCACAACATATGCAGCACTAATTACATTTTTTATTAGTTAGCGGATCAATTTTCTGGAACAAACAATGTGTCCTGCTTATGTATACTCAACCCTCCGATAACGCAGTGAGTTTAATATGGAAACCATATAAAAACTCCGATTTAACACGCATGATCCAGACTAATTCGTAGTGCGTTGTATGAAAACCGCGCTATAAAAAATTCATAATCAGTACAAATCACATCATTTGTACCGCGTTATTGATAACCAATAAATGCGAAAGACATGATAAACTCTAAATTGCTTTAATGGAATTGAAAAGTTCATATTATTGAATTGAAGACTTTACATACAAAAAATATAAATAATTTTATTTAAATAGACTAACTAAAGTGTGGAGAAAAGGCTGGTTCTGACTCTACTAAAACTGATGTTATACACAGCAATGTTAAATGATTTATATAAATATATTATAAGGTTAAGAGTCAATAATAAAATTTACATTGATACCTTGAGTCACAAGTTACGCGGAAGGAATTTGTAGGCTGTTGAACAAAAACCGTGTTATCGGAGAACTGCAATTTCAACAATGTGTACTATGAAAACCGCGTTCCCTTAGAACCGCGTTATCGGGGGATTGACTGTACTATTAAGTTTAAATTTAAAAATTAGCTTACACTGAATGTGTCTGGTTTGCCGCTACTGGGTTGCCGAGCCATGGCGTAGACGTTTAACACCAGAAGCAATGACAAGAAGGTACATAAGACGATTATCCATGGCTCCAATTTGCTTAGTGCCTTCTCGCCATAAACTAGACTTAAACCGAGAGCCAGACAAAGAATTCCTTAAAATAGAATGCAGAAAATGTTTATATAAATTAAAAGCGTAGACAATACAACGATTAAATAATAATAATCATAACTTTGCCATCCACATTACCATTGGTTGCCTTCCTTCATACAATACAACAACTTTAATATAGTGCAGATTCAACAAAACATAAATTTTTAAAATATTTATACATAAGAAAATATGTACTTAATGTTTGGCAAAGAAAAGATTTTATATACAAATGCATTCTACATGCTGCCCATGTTGATCTTGATTCTATATCCATATCATATCATTCATTGAATCCATTTATATGTTGCAATGTATTTTTTAAATCAATATAAATTAGAATCTGGTATGAAGAGTAAATAGAAAATAAAATAAATAGAAAAATAATAAAATAAATAGAAAAATAATAAAATAAACAGAAAAATAAAGGTTAAAAAACTTCAAATAATAATTTGAAAAATAAATATATAAATGTGCAAAACACACATTTCAAACCTTATGAAATGATCAGAGTTTGTATTAAGGTCCAATTTAATTATGGTTATTTCTCAGTAAGTGAATTATACCAAAAACATACATAAACACATAATATAAAATATATAATAGGAGATAATAATTTGAGATATATCATCTGTCCGAAATATTACTTCTTTGATATAAATATTCACAATTTTAATCTTATATATTTTTATGAATAAGTTTTCTGAACATAATCGTTTATTGACTAATTTATATCGTATTCATTTATAATTAATAAATTAGACAATATTTTTTGTAAAAATAATGTTTTTGCTAAAATCCATAACCGTAATCTAATATTCATTCTGGTAATAATATATCCATGTGTATGTGTGTAGTTATCTATATGCGGATATAATTTTCTGCCGACCTTTTTGAGAACATATAAAATTATCAGATAGAGATTTTATTTAAGTACCAATTTTGTTACCATTCCGCATCAAGAAATCTTTAAAGCTAGCATATATAGTTCAAACAAATGTCTTCGACAATCTCAACATTTAAACCGACTTGTATTTGGGTATCAAAATTTAGAAAAAAAATCAAAATGTTCAAAAATCAAAAATTACAAAATGCCGCTCAAATTTCAGCTCGCCGCTCAAATTTCAGCTCGCCGCTCAATTCAAAAAATCTAATTTTTCCTTTCTAATCTTTTCGAAACTTTAAATTACGGTACAGAAAGTTCCAGCAACTTGTCTTGAGATATGACGCCATTAACCACTAATTTTCAATAGATGTCAGAAAAAATCGTCGCAAACCTATTTACAGACAACAATGCGTAAAACTGATCTTATATATAAAATTCTTTACGAGTGTATAATTTGATACTTCTCCTAAACGGTTATTCGGATCTTGATAATTCTTCTTAGAGTTTGTCAAAGAAAGAAATTTGCCAAAAAAATTTTTAAGATTTAATGAACAATAAAATTATAGTAATTGTAGAAATAAATGGCAAAAATTACAAAAAACGACTTATCATTGATGAATATTGAAAACATTTGAACTGTTATCTGCTAGAAATCTCAATTCACTTGAAATTTGAATTTAGCCGAAATTATGAGCCTAGATAATGTTAGAATACAATATACAAGAAAATGTAATTTCTACATTATTATTGCCGAAAAGCAGCTGAGTTGAATTGAATTGAACTGAAATTAAATTAAAATAATATAAGATACAGTCAAACTATGTAATTCAGTTTAATAAATAACGCAATAAGTACAAAATTGCATATACATTTTTTACACTTATGCATGTCGCATTTTTGTTTACTTTATTAAATTATTTAGCAATATAAAAAATATTTCTACTTATCAAAAAAAAATGATTTAGAATTTTCGTTCATGTGCCAAAAATTCATTTGTTTGGCATTGGATATGGAATATTTAGCAAGTTGATCTTAGATTAAAGAATGCTCATAAAAGCTAAATTTTTTAAATTATTTAATAGATGAATTATCTAAGATTTGAACATAAACAATAATGTTTATTGAATTATTAGTAAAAAAAAAATTAAAATGATTACATTATTAGTAAGATAAATATACTTTAGAAATTATAATTGCAAAACAGCAACCAATATATCGTACGAGATTATGAAAATTATAGACTAAATTACTGATCAATTATGTTGTGTGGTAAAATCTAGTATTGTTCTTTTACCGCATATTCTATATCCTATACCGCATGTATTTTAACCCCTTTGACTCGGATACCGCCACTCCGGCGGCAAAATTCATATAAATCTCGGAATTCGCGAGTGGAAAGTGTTAATTGAATGTATTAATCTCTGAAAACGATTGGCTACTATAATCATAACTATTATAATAGAAGATAATTGGCAAATTATTTTCTACCTACTTACCGTATATGCAAATGAGCCAATGGAACACATATTGTGACAAAGACGTCGGGGTAGTCGAACCTTCTCTATTTATCACTTGCGACAATACATTCCGCAAATTGTGTTTAACAATTTTATTTTTCGAAACTAGAGCACTTCTTTCTTGAGGTGGTGTAGTAGTGTAGTTATCGGAATCGGAAGCGTCATACCTGTAAATAAAAGCAAACCACTAGTTGTAAATGGCATTTTGTCATAAGGCAAGTTGGAAGTTGCATGAATTTCCCGATATGTGTAAGTAATCGATTTAATTAGTTATAATTGAAAATTAGCTATTTAGATCAAACTTTCAAATTGAGTCACAAATAGTTATGAAATATTATAAAAAAAGATCTTTTGTGTATAAACAATATTTTTTTTGTAAACTTCATCGACCTAGCTTGATGGTTAATTTAAATTTTTTTTGAAGTTACTACAAAAATTAATGTGAAAACAAAATAGAAAATGTTTTTAAAAATCGATTTACTAATGTTTACTTTGACATAGACTGTTACATGCTACAAGACGAGAAGAATCAAAAGCACTACTATTAGAAGTTTAAAATGGGATTTATAAGCCAGCTAGCTAAAATAAATTTACATGAAGTATACTAAATTAAAACAGTTGCCTTTTGAGAATATTTATCAAAAAGGTATTACAAAGAAGCAGGTACTATCAACATGCTATATTGACAATTATGTTATATAGCAGACCAAACTATAAAAAGTCATTCCATGCGTTCTCACATGCTTTTTCTAAATTAACCTAAAAATAGGCATGGTTAGAACTCCAATGCTCACTCTTTACCGGGTTCATCTGATTCAACTTCAGAGTCTTCGACTACTTCATGCCTATTCGTTTTATGATTGGATAACAGCATTTCACTTTCACTTTCAGCTGCTGAATCTGATGCATGGTATACCTTAACTGGGTATTCATATCTATAAAATGAAAAAGCTTTGGACGAGCACATACATTGCAACATGACACTGAATGATAGATCCTAGAAACCAAAACCACATTTTTATATAATAGTCATCCCCAATAATTTCATGAACTCGATTTATTCATTAAATTTTTGACGCATGTCTTATTATATTATAATTAATAACCCATTCATATTTTGTGAATCTCATGAAATTTATATTCCATTGTGATGATTGATTATGCAAAACATAATAAAGCATTACTGTAAGTATAATGACTAAAATAAAATAAAATTGCTTAGATTTGTGAATGAAAAAATATAATATAGCGATAAATAATAGTTGTGCAATGATCAAAAACAGCATTATGTGATGATGGATGTAAATGATATAATGATACTTTTCAAACAATTAGAAGAGTGCACAAATATTAGACTAATTTATACCAACTAACAATAAAAAAAACTTAAAAAAATATTATTTGTTTATATAAAAATAATTTATTCCTAAATAATATATAATGTAAATAACCTCAAATAATAACTAACCTTAACAAAAGTACACATGCGGCGACCATCGTATAGGCAGTTAACGTTCCTATTGACATCATATTTACCAGCTGATTTAGATCAAACAACGCAGCCATCAAACCTGAAATGAGTATATTATAATTATAAAACATCAAACCAGAAAGAACTTATGATAAATATGAATTCATTTTAAATAAATCATTTTAGATCTGCAAATCAAAGCACTCTGTCCTTTCATTAAGAGGGGACCCTGCTTTAGAGGCTTCAAAAAATCGTTTTTTTAAAATAATTTTTAGAGAGAGAAATAAATATTTAATTCATACAAAACTTTCAGGTTTTATTGCTACATATATCAACATTCTTCTAAAATTGTTTCATTAAAATATGCATAACGAGTGTGCAGGTGTCTTTTGGAGGGAAAGATGCAGGTCACAATTTCAATCCGAAACAAAAAAATCAAAGCAAATATATATTTTCAATAATAGATTCTAGTTGAATCTGAAAAATCCAGAAAAAAATGAGAAATTCACCAATTGTTTGCAACTTGAAAAAAAAGTAATATTTTTTGATACAAAATTTCACTTTAGATTGTTTAAAAAGTGGATTAATTATATTTTTTAAAAGTTTTTTTAGGTTTAACTAGAATAGAATTGAATCCTAAATACATTGAATTTTGCCTCGTTTTGATCGGGCGTTTAGTTTGTTTCTTATAATTCCCGCCAATTAGCAAGAATCGAAAAAAATTAAAAACCGAGAAATCGCGCGTCGAAGTTTTCGTTCCCTTGGCGATGCTCATTATTTCTTCTGTACTTCCGAAAATAATTTGAATTTGTTTCTGAAATTTTAGGCTCTAATATTCTTCACTAATGTTGGAAGACATTTTTGCAAAAAAAAAATAAACTTTTTAGGCCTCTAAAGCAGGCTCCGCCCTTAAAAAATTACCTTTAATTTCAGTTATAAATCTTAAAGTAAAAACAATTTTAGAATTTTCTAAGGATGATTAAAATGTGATGTTTCTTTGATGACCTTACCGGTAAGTAATCCAGCTAGAATTGTTCCACTGACGGGTGTATTATATGTATCACTAACGCGGCCCATAAATCTAAAAATCAATCCATCAGAAGCCATGGCATACAAAATACGAGGCAGTGGAAACATACATCCAAACAAACTGAAAAGTCAAAGTTTTCGAATCATTTAAATATATGAAATCTATCTTTGTTAAAAGAAAATTCTATGAGATCATTTTCGAATAGGTTAGTGAAGGTTTTAATATAAGAAAGTTCTCATCATCTTCTACGAGTATCTAAAAGACTTTTTCTATAAATGTTATATATATTCTTAATCATAATATATATTATATATATATATATGTATATATATAGATGTGTGTATACATATATCATTGAAAACAAATATGTGTTTATTTTACCTAGTAATTAAACCGAAAAGACCTCCTATAGCAACTATCCACTTTGCAAAATTCCATCCAACAGCAGCAAACGCATAAGGCAATGGCGCATCACGATTCTTTGGAAGAATATTAAAATGTTAATTACAGAAAGAATTAAAAAAAGAGTGCGCTTAAGGTTCACACGCGATTGAAGTAAAACTTTTTTGCTATTGTACGAGATAGCATTTAAGTTAAAAATAAACACATCATATAATAATTATGAATAATGTTCATCAGTAATATGGTAACACTCGTGATGCACATATTTATTAGTGTCAACCATTATACATATTTAAATAATAATAAATTATAAATTTATAATAGCATTAAAAATATTTATAATATTTGAAAACAATAATGCAATTAAAGTCATATTTCAAACACGACATGATCGGTTCGTCATTAGAATTAGTGCAGTAAACGGAGCGTTTAGGGTCTGAATTTTTTTACTGTGCTTCGAATTGAATGAAATTTTGCAATTAGGTTCATCTTACCCTCTAGGTGAGCTATCAGGCAAATAAGAATCATATACGAAGTTTTTTTCTTTTAAATCATATGGTTTAATGAGCGCCATTTCCACCAGAATTAAAGTAATTCACATTCCATCTAGAATTCACTTCATTATAGACATCTTGATGGATTCTAGCAGATTCACTATTTTAGTACAAACTAATTTCAGAAAACTCACGATTTTATAGAAACTTTTTTTATATATAACTTTTTGCGCGACCGCGCAATCTTTAAACATTCATAACTCTGTCAATTTTTGTGTGAAAGAAAAATAATAAAAATTAATAATGAGCCAGAAAGATCCCTTGGATTTTGATCTATAGGCTTTTATAATTATCTTTTATTCTTTTTAAGATATAATGAAAATAATTTCAATTTTTTAAAAAATTGGAAAAAAAAATTATAAAATCGTGAGTTTTCTGAAAATAGTTTGTACTAAATTAGTGAATCTGCTCGAATCCATCAAGATGTCTATAATGAAATGAATTCTATAGATTATTCATAATAATTTTTTTCTTATAATTAGTTCTATCGATTTCCGACGTTATTTTGAAAAAATGTATTTACACAATTGAGAAGAGGTGTCATTCCCCCGGGGGTGATGGCGCAACCCGAATTATTTTCACTTTTGAACTTGAGGGTAAGATGAACCTAATTCCAAAATTTTATTCAATTCGGAGCACAGTAAAAAAATTCAGAGGTTATACCCTTTTTTTCTCTCCGTTTACTGCACTAAATTAGCATCTAGGACTTGAACCCTCAATAGAGAAATAAAGTTATTACAAACTAATAAAGTAGTTTTATTATTATTATTTTATTTCATTAAACAAAGTAATTGTAACAGTAGACAGCTGTACTGTAACAATCTTGAGTAATTTCATTAACGCTAGCAATGAATAAACTGCATAGATGTCCAAACATATTGAAAAAAGTAACAAATATACATTTGTAAGCAGGAAAATATATAAAAGTTAAAAATGGCATTTAGCCTTAAGGCAAGTTGCATGAACTTCTCAAAATATGTAGGAATTGACTTAATCTTTAAATTAATATTTAGATAAAATTGTTTATGTTTATTTCAAAAATAAAGTTATTGCTTTCAATTAAATCTAAACATTGCGATTTAGAATAGAATTTTCTCAAACACATTTAAATTAATTGTAATTATATTAATCATACTGCAGAGACACGTGCTTGTAAGCCCTAAAATTGTAGTTTGTTATTTTTAAATTTTAATGAATTGATAATGCTTGGCTCGCCACATCGCAAAAGCAAGGTTTGACACAAATTTTGATTCTTATATTTTATATTTTTATATTCTCAAGCTTTGATAAATTTTTAACATTAAACTATTTGTCGTAGGGCCGTAACATTTTAGTATGTTTTATAAGACCATGATATCTATGCCAAAAAAAGGTTCATAAAAATCGGCTTTTTTGTTCAACAGGTACTTTCAAGAATATCCGGTAGATTTTTACTTGAAACTAATCAGTATCATTCCAACCAATATCTTTCGAACAGTTTTGATTTTTAAAATCGATTCAAAATTGAGAGCCAAAAGATGGACGAAAATTCTTTCACTTTTCTGCAATTTACAAAGAAACGCTTCAGCTCATCGATGCACAAGACTGCGAAAAGATAATCCACGTCAAAATACATTGATTGAAACGTCGATTCACAGCAAAAAAAATCTGTTCACATACACACATATACTTTTTCCAAATTTGGTCTCGTTCGATTCAGAATTCGCTTGAAACGTCGAGAAAACATAAAATTAGTGAAATAATTTTCTCCTTCGGAAAGTTAAAAATCGTTGGAATGAATATACATTACATTTAAAAATTGTTTAATTAAACATGTAAGTTTTAAAACTTAAAATAGATGATAATTACTATAAAATTATAAACCACTAACCTGATCGTAGTAAGGCAACATAAGTGTTATCACTGCAGAAACGCCGAAGTACGAGATGAAAACAATTACCAGTGTTGCAATTATTGCACGTGGTATGGTTTTTCTTGGCTCTTGAACTTCTTCGCCACTTGCTGAAATGCAGTCAAAGCCGATGTAACCATAGAAACAAGTTGCAGCCCCCTTTATTGTTCCCATCACACCGAACGGGAAGAATCCGCCAGAGCCAATGTTCTGGGTAGCTTGCACGACTGCAGGCAACGTCTCAGGCTTGATTTTCCAATTTTTGATATCGACTAAAAGTCAGTATTGTAAAATTTAAAACATTTTATTAAGAACATCAGTCTTATTATTTATTGATTCTGTTATGAATAGTTAAAACTGCTTCCATAAAAAAATAAGCAATAGATATTACTTTTTTGACTAAACAGTTGTGTGATAGGCATGTAAAAGAAATCATACCAAACAGTATCCTTTATATCATCAGTACTTTTGTACATAATATAGAATAACAGTATATTGTGACTAAGAAAAGGAAAAGGATGACATTTTCTCAAAAAAATCAAAGACATATTTTTAATAATATGTATATTCCAATTTTTGCTATGGGTTGATTAGGATATAGTTTAAATAAAAAAATCTAAATTAATATATACATTAGACAAAATATAACACAAAACCTTTCTAGGAACCATAGTAGACTGATAAGATTCCAAATGCTATTGAACCGATATGATTCCAAGAATCAAAACGCTTGCATCTATCTTTTGTAATTGGCTATACTTATTTTCCAGTTGTACAGTGAAAACCGACTTTTTCTACTAAAAAACCGGTTTTCGAATTCCATTATTTTCGTTAAAAAACCAGTGTTTAAAACCGGGTTTAGAAAACCGACAAATCCTAATTTTGGTCATAGTTTGCATTTGAATTGTGTTGACTGTGGCAATAACATCATTTATTTAGCACAGTTTCACTCGTTTTGTTTACATACATAGGCTCAATATTGGTAGAATTGTGTTAAATGCACATGAAATGATTTAAAAATATTATAATAAAATTATACAATTAAACTTACTCTTTATGCTTCCAGCAATTATAACAAACACCACGACGATCAAGTTCAACAATGAAAATAAGTTATTGACCATTGTAGATTTTTTCACTCCTAAAGCTAAAGCCACTGTGAAAACCAAATTACAATAAAAATATTACTAATGCTATAATAAAATGTAAAATTACAATCGTTTAGAAATATAATACTTATTTATGCATCTATATTTAAATAAAATTTCATAATACATAATTTGATAATACGTCTACAAAAAGCATAATTTAACCTTTAACAGTTGAAACTTTCTTTAACAATGTTATAATTACAAGCAATTATTAACACGTATTTCTAACATTATTCATATTCATTAATTATTTTTAATTCATTTATCATGAAATTAAATATAATGAAAAAAGTATTCCTACAATTAGTGTTAAATTATTTACGTGGTAGAAATATTTGTTAACATTACAGATAACAGAAATTAAGCAAAAAATATCGATCGGCAAGCATAAAAAAATATAACAAATTATTAGTTTGTCGATCAGGGAATTTTAAATACTTACACCTTGGTCACAAATGCATAAATATTTTTTAAAATTTGCAAGTTAGTAGAACTATATTAATAACCAGTTTTTGGAAAAATTGCTTTCGGAATAAAATATCTTTAACCCATAAAAACATACCTGCAAATAAGACGGCTAATATAAAAGCCAAAAAATCCACATGACCAGCAAGAAAGGAAAGTGATAGAGGTGCGAATGAAGCAAAAGCCTTTCCTATGACACCATCCAGTATCGAATCAAGATAAACACTAACACCTCGCGCTACACTGGCACTACCTAATTTTAAAAATGTAAATGAAAAACTTTATTAGAATAGGCCAAAATACAAAAAAATACACGTCAAGTGAAAAGTTCGTTTCGTTTATTTAGCAAAACTCGACCAGTTTTTTTATTGTGTGAAAATACATTTATTCAAACTGAATTTTCGAATGGAGCCATGATGCCATCGGTGAAAAACTTCTATGGTTTCTGGTGAAAAACTGATTCAAGTGTTTTTGGAAAGCTCCTTTTGAAATCAGTTTAATACTATTATGATAGTTTTACAGAGATCGGAACAAATGTCAGAGAGCGCTATATATGGAGTATATGGTAGATGCATAAAAATTTCTCAGCTTAGCTTTCGCAACTTTTGGCATATCATCAGACAATATCTTCAATTGATGCGCTTGCTTTCAATTATCTGGTGTAATCTCTCTATTTATTTACAGTAGAATTGATAATTAATGGTCTGGTCAGGTCACTGGAAGTAGAACACGATTGACGATTACCTTCCAGTCGCACCACAAACACAGCATCACCTTTTTAGTGTCATTCCTGACTTAAACGTTTGTCGACCCTCATCATCATTAGATTTATTTCGCCTCCGATTATCATATATAATTTACTTCGTCTTACCAGTTTTGAAATGTTTCAGAAATGGTTCGATTTCATTGCATTTCAGCAGCGCAGATGTTGATTCGGTCTATCAAGTTCTTCGCACCCAACTCATGAAGATCGCACACATCGAGCTTCCTTTTGTACTTAGAATTATGTAATTGGTTAAAAACAGTTTTCTGATCAATGGCTAGTTCCCTCCTTATGTCGACTGAGCTGATTTAATTATCTTGGTATCTTGATCTACTTTTTTAAACAATTTCAACAACTTTTTCATTGATTCGACGAGTGGAACGCGGTACATCCTTCACATTAAAATTACCAGAACGAAAACAAGCGAGTCATCTCCAAGTAGCAGATTTAGATGAAGTACCTTCACATTATACAGCATAATTTGTTTCACAAACCTGCACCGCGTTCTTCCCTCTATCATAATAATTTTGCAAAATATAGCGATTTTTTTCATTAGTTTTCTCCATTTTCAAACACAAATAACTTTTCAACTACTTGATCGATTTATTTGGTTATACCAAAATAATGCACGAAGTGTCACCTTTCTAACGAGGGTTTACTGTGACCCTGCGATCTGCACTTCCTGAATGTAACTAAACCGTCTATTGCGGAAAACAAAACGAACTTTTTACTTTACCCAATATTTGTCATTATCGAGCCGATTCTGCCGTAAAATAGGCCAATGTTATGGCAAGGCTATGTTAAGTAGCAATTTTTATATAGAGTGGTAGAAGATTACAGCAATTTAAGTTTGAATAAAATAATCACGAAAGAAATTCACATTATACTTCAAGGCCGAGAAAAACTGTAGATTTAAAATAACATAAAAAATAATGTAAAATCAATCATATACAAAATATATTAAAAATTATTAAAAAAAATACCTTACCTATAACATATTCCAGTATCAGATTCCATCCAATGATAAATGCGACTAATTCTCCAGAACAAATGTATGAATAAGTGTAAGCTGATCCAGCACGTGGTTCGCGCCCTCCGAATTCAGCGTAGCATAAACCTAAACAATAATAAGACAAAAACTTCTCCTTTTAACTAATTTCATAATATTGTTGACTGAAAAAAAATATATTGTGCCCTATATACTTATATTAAATCCAATAAGATAAAATTATGAATGATCATATATGAGACCTGCATAAGCAGATAAATTTAATGAAAAATACTTCTATACAAGTAGTGTAAAACTACCTGTGTAGATACCAGGACGTAACTACCGCCGTATCAGCCGTATCAAAAATACGGGCCCCCCGAGCCAAGGGGGCTCCCAACGAGCGCAAGCAGAAAGCAAAACTACATTTTTTCAAACAATTTAATAATTTTAACGTAGTTTGCATTTCCTTTTTTATCGAAAGGTATTGAACTTCAACTTGTAAGCTAACGCGAAAATCTATTCCTGCTGCAATATTTCTGCAAGCTCTAGCAATCAATTCAATTAGTAAAGCTTTTCCACATTCGATAAGTTAACAAATCTATAAAACTAATTCAAATTATACGTTCTTCATCTTAAATAGGAATTTGGAAGTTTATATTCATATTTATATCGTTTTTTGTTTGTTGTCGTTACTACTTGAATTGTCTGCATGACGCGTCAGTTTAATAGTTAGATTTTGATAAATATGATCAATTAAATCATTTTCAGATTTCTTTTTCACTGCTTAAAATATAAGTTTCTGTTCTGAAACTTTACAACACGCCAGCAATGACTTACAAAAAACTAGTATTTTATTAAGTATCTTTTGAATAGATTGTGCGAATTAAACATATGAAAATTTATTGAAATAGTTTGTTGAAGAAGTACAAATAATTCGCAAAAAAAGATGGATTGCAATAACTATTTCAAAGAACCAAATACAAAAGATAATGAAGCGTTATTGATGAAGAGAGAGAATTTTAGACCCGAAATCTTATTTTAATGTATACTATTGCTGTTTAGATATATAATTTCACAAACCAAACAAAGATTTCAAAACCTTTTGCGACGTAAGAAGTAACATTTGTCTTTTTGAAATCGAGAATTGATAAACATTTCCGGAAAACTGTCGAATCACTGTAAAGAAATATTGTAAAATATCTCATATGACCATGACCAATTGATAGTTCTAGAAATAGGTTTGAATACACAAATCTAAGAAATGTATTTCATTAAGGTACAATGATGGATGCAATAGGCTTGCATCCAGTTTTCCCAACGAAATAACAGTATGCATTTTTCCTTGCCCTTTACAATTTACAGTTAAAAACGCAACTGCTAAAAAAATTTTTAATTAAAACTAATTAAAAATTACGTAAATACTTTAGGACATAAATGTCAACCTGTATGTTCCTAGAGACAGAAATTCATAAATTTAAGATCACTAAATAAGTCAGTTTTTCAAAAAAAAGGTAAGGAGAGTGGAAATATATCTGGAATCATTTGTGAAAAATTCAGAAAATTAGAGAAAATTAGATAGACCGATAGAT